GTTGCTGAGAACTACTCGCCTTGTTCTGGTACCATCCATTTGACTAATCAGGGGATTAGCGGATTAGCGGTACTATATTGTGGTTCGCATCGTAGCCAACGACCTCATACGTTGTGCCATATGACTGCCGTCTGCACCCCTGACAGTGCGCAGAATCAGCAGCTGTTGTTGCTCTCCCATATTTGCAAAATAGCTGGCAATGCTGGGGACAAACACAAAAGCTGAATAATATTTCCTGCCATCTACAATTCCCGAACAGTCCACAACTTGGTGGTCAAATCTTGCCTCTTCAGGCACGAACCCGTCTTTCTTGAGTTATCCAAATATAAACCTAGCAGCCTTAACACGAGTTTGCTTCATTTCGTCCGCAGAACATGTAAAAATCTCGACAAAATGACCCAGTTCCTGTAACAATATTGCACATCCCTCCATAGTTGCAATTTCTTCTAGGCGATTGGCCGTCATCATGCCTGATATCTCGGTTTTGACCGCGCGAAAGTGATGTAGACCTGATTGACGGGTGTATATCTGTTTTGCAGTCACAATTGGGACGGCAAATCTAGTTGTCAAGGACGGGTTTTCTTTTAGATCTGGAAGAACCAATCGAGCCACTTGTTTTGCCGTATAGGCAGGGGTGCAATTTGGCCTACTATTTTTGTCACTTCCAACGTGCTGCCCTAGACATGCATGGGCTTGGTACTCACGCAACTTTTATCCACCAGTGCTTGGGTCTCGAAACCGTATCTTTGCCTTGCAATGACCATCTCGACAAGTTGGAGAAGCTGTGTCAGCCGTTTGTTGAATATTTACACCTTTTCTGTGGATAAAAACGCCGTTTGTGCACGGCAATACTGCTGACATTTCCACCTGGCGTCCATTTGGAGTCCTTGTTCTGGGTTTATTTCAACTGATCGTTCCGGCGGCCAACTCTCAGAACCCCTTCTCTCCTCTGCAAGTGCTTCCCTCGCCTCATCCCGAACTCTTGTTTTGTACGCACGCTTGCTTGCAGGTACCCTTTGCAATTTTTCTGTATGACGCTGCGATTCGTCCTCAAGGAGGGTTTTTTTGGTGAGCTTGTAGCCTCCCGAGGAGTGTCATGTGATTGTTGTAGCATAAACACCCCCAGACGACTGGAGGTGTATGTGCAGTTCGACCTGTAGACCCCGGATCGGAGAAAAGGGAAGCGGGCCAACCAGCTACGGAACCGGGCTCGGGCCCGGGTAGCGGTGGTAGAGCAGGAGCAAGCAGGGACGCGCGCACGCACGAGCAGATTGACGCCTCGACGCCCCGAAGCAGCACTGGGTGACGTACCAGCGCTGACGGGCGGAGGCGGTTCCGTGCTCGCTCGCGTGCTGCGCGTCCACTCCGGCTCGGCTCCGACTAAACGCACGCGAAGAGCGAAGGCGACGTTTAGAATAAGCTGGGTGGACTGACCTTGGCGGTCGGTTGAGAACAAGCCCGTGCTTGTCCCCCTACGCCGCCACCGTTCCGCTCCGTATTTAATATACAAAACAATCTATCATAACACTACAGCACCGAGGTACTGTAGTGGGCTACTGTTGTGCAGGTCGGCCTGCACTGTAATACTGTCAGCTATGTCGAGGCTGACAGTCCACGTAGTACCCGTGGTGCGTTCGCGCTTCGTCCGCGCGCGGTACACGTGAGCACGTGTATGCACGTGTCCCTTGTCCCCGTGGTGTACACGTGGACACGCACGGTTGTACTGTAGAGCTCGACGCTCTACAGTAGCTGATCTAGTTCTTGATCTAATCTAGTTTAAAGCCCCAGGGGGGGTTATACCACAATTGTTTCATGTTTTGTTCGTTAAAAAATGGCGCTGTGGATTCTGAGACAAACACAATACTGTCATCGGAACTGCTAGTGTCATGATCAGGACTGCGGCTCCGGTATGCAAACCTTTTTCGCATAAATTCTTTTTCTTCGCTTGGAAAGAAACCGTGAAAAAGGTCGTCTAGATCGTCTCTGAATGCATCAGACGGATCTCCTTCTTGAAATGGAACATCTCCATTCGTAGTAAAGCCATTGAAGCAAATATGTCTTGGAATTGGACAAGAACTTCTTCCTCCATGGCTATCTGCATACTCTTTGGCCAACTCAACGCATTTTGATATTTTTTGCTTGCAGCTAGTGGCGTCTTCGATATTACCAATCCCTCCCTTATCTGGATGGATCCAGAGGCATAGGTTCAAATACGCACGTCGAATGTTGGATAGCGGGATGCTCTCCTCGGTATTACGTGGGAAGAATACCTTCAATACGGAAGTATTTTCCGGGATCGCAGTGATTCTCTGTAGCTCGTCCTCAGTACTCATGTTCAGTAAGGGGAAGAGGAGTTGTAGTACAATTGCGCGGAGGCGACGGCGCCACCGCTGCTGCCCCGGCGGACAGTGATCTCGGGTGTAAGCGCCAGCACAACCGTAAGGAGTTGTATTTACAGCTGGTGGCCGGTGCGGAGAACAGTAATACTCCACCGGCTACACGTGTGTGATCCGTACGGTCATAAGTAGTAATTAGTAGTTAATGGCACAAATTTATTAATTGTGTACGGTAGCTGGTATACCGTAAGTAACAGCTACTGTAGCGGGACAGGTGTCCTGGCGTCCCACTTAGGGGTTAAGACCGGGGGCACCTGCCCCGTCTCAGTAAAGAGGAGGCAGACTCGCCTCCCTTCCCTTTACGGCTAAGTGCTAACACCGTTCCGGTTTTCCTTTAGCTCGGGCTTCTAACCCGTGACCGGCCGTCCGGGTATAACACCACCGACCGGCTGCGCGTCACCGGCCACGTGAGCCTGCCCTCTTTTCGAGTCCATCCGTACGGTTTTTATCCGCGCGTGGGTAACCCAGCGTCGCGTGCTCCCTCACCTCTAACCCCCCTCGTTCCGAGTGGTCGGGACGAAGGTAGTTATACCACAGGAGTCAAGAGCAGTAAGGGAATGGGGGTTTTGCGTTACCAGAAGACTTCAAGATCAGTGGGGGATTGGGACGATGCGGTCAAGATCAGTAGGGTAAACGTAAATCTGTAACAGACATGGTTGGGTTTTTGCGGAAAACGCCTACCGATTCTGTCATTTTTCGTATTTCGCCAACAGAAAAGTGACTTTGCAACGCATTCTCGTACTAAATCTGTCAAAAAAACTTTCGCCTACGGAATCAGTTCTTTTTTCCCGTTTCCCCTACTGATCGTGAAATCTCCCTTAATGTATTTGTCCAAAATGCCAGGTGGAGAATTACAACTGGCTCCCAGTCAACAATTAGACCGCACTCGGCCGCGGGTCTATGGTATTGATATATGGAGCTAAAAAGGGACCCCTCTCCACCAGTGACGGTCTAATGGTCTATCTTCTGCTCTCGCACGCCTGTCCCCTCACCTCCCTTCGTAATTCCCCCGCCCCTCCCTCTAACTGCCTGTTTCGCATTTCTACAGAATGACCATGAACTTCAACTTAGACGAACTCGTGCATGACAGTGACGACGACATTGTCGATTCTGTCGCAATTATTGTGGCACAAGATCAGCTTAACGAAGAGAATGACGGAAAGCACGGCGGATCCCGTCCTGGACGTAGTACAAACGTCTTGCGAGACTTTTCGGGTGGGCATCGCCGCATAGTGCTGGACTACTTTCGGGACGAGCGGAGCATGTGGGATGATGGATCGGGAGAGCGGGGTCCTGTTTACAGTGCTGACCTCTTCGAAAGAAGGTTCAGAATGCCGAAAGAGCATTTTCTCCGCGTGTACGACGGTGTCATGGAGAGAAACGCCTACATAAGACTGGGGATTAATTCGGACTGTACAGGACGAAAAGGAATCCATCCGCTGCAAAAGGTTGTTGCTTCCATGAGGCAGCTGTCCTACGGCTTTCCAGGTGACGCTGTGGATGAGTACTGTAGAATGAGTGAGACTACCGCTCTAAAATCGCTCCGAGAGTTTTGCCGGAGTGTGGTTTCTGCATTTGGAATTGAATTCCTGCGTGCGCCGACACAAGTAGACCTTCAGCGCATTGAAGTGCGATTTGCAGAGGTAGGATTTCCGGGCTGTATGGGATCTGTGGACTGTGCAGGATGGGATTGAAAAAATGCACCAAAGCCACATCAAGGTCATAACGTAGGAAAAGAAAAAGTCTCTACACTACGAATGGAAGTTATTTGCGATTTGGATCTTTGAATATGGCATTGTGCCTTTGGGTACCCTGGAAGCATGAACAACATCAACATCTTTGATGTCAGCCCGCATTTTGCAGAGGTTTTAAGCGGATTGTACCCTCCTTTCCGCGTGGAAAGTGTAATTGCAGAAAAAAGGTTGACTGGTTCTATTACTTTGCTGACTGAATATATCCGAACTACAAGCTTTTTGTCAAGACTTTGCCGGAGACACAAAATCCGCGAACACAAATGTTTCGAATGCGACAAGAGGCAGTTCGTAAAGCAGTAGAACGGGTTTTTGGGGTCCTGTTCGCTCGCTGGAATATATTATATTCCCCCGGGAGGCTCTAGAGCGCAAGTGATATAGAGGAAATTGTCTCTGCCTGTGTCACACTTCACAATATGATCGTCGAAGAGCGCAGAGGAGAGTTTTCCGGCGATGGGACCGGAGGCGTGAGGATATCTGATACGGAGATTGACGCTCTGATAGCTGCCGACTCTAGGTCCATCATTGTGCCAATTGCTGATGGTGAGAACGGCGGTACAGGGTGCTTTACGTCTGCAGTTAGAATTGGGTCGACAGGGCACGATCGTGGGGATTCTGCCAAGCATGTGGCGCTCACAAAAGCCTTAATCACGCACATTTGGCAATCTTACGCTAATACGGAACCTGAACGACCGTCTTGCACAGGGATCGGGTTTCTCTGATTGACACAGTTTCAATTACGTCGCACTCTCTTCCGCTTCTAAAAATCACAGGGCGCTGTACGCTGCACTCGAAAATATTAGAGCTCCTGTAGGACGTTCCTGGAGCACGAGAGACCGGCGCGTCGTGCATCACGTCGGAGCGCCGCGACCCCACCGTCGGCGAGCCCCACTCGGCCGCTGCCGGCCGAAAGACGGTCTTCCTGTTCCTGGAAGTCCTGGAAGACTTTTCGGACGCAGAGAGCGAGGACTTTGAGTTTCTGGACGAGCAAAGCGTAGAGAGAGAGCGAAGTTTATCGCGCGCGTGGAACTTTACAGTGAGGGAAAGGGTCCGGTGAGTCGGGAATGAGGAGGAGTTCGCCGCTCTGTTCGCGCAGGTTGAGCTGAATGAGTGGTTCGAGCGCGAGGCGGAGAGAGCGGTCAGGGATGAGTTTGATGTGGGTAAGACGTTATTAAGGAGTGGAAAGAGGATGCGACGGAGCATTACGAGAGGTGCGTGTGGTGGGGGAGTAAAGCAGTTAGGAAGGTTGTGGATATTAAGTATATGGAAAGGGAGTTTAGGGTCGCCAAATAGTAGAAGACGCAAGCGCGGAACGTGTGTGTAAAGCTGCAGCTGCCGTCGTAACTGTATCTGTACAGTCTTCGTATCGCCGGTTTGGAGTTCGGAGATGGCGTCGTCGTCTTGTGGGCAAGGGACTCTACCCATGCGCCGAACCTTGCGCTCGAGTTGCAGTCGCAGGAAAGGGAGGGAGGGAGAGACATAGATCCCTCTGGTGAATGCCTCCGCATGGCAAAGTGCATCCATCAACGCAACATCCCAAAAGCCGCAAGTCTTACTTTTCCGATAGTTTCTCTCCACTCCCGCCTGCACAGCCAAACGCTCCGCTCCTCTCGCGAGGATGAACGGATCCATTCACCCATATACGCTATCTCCGCCACCATCCCCCCTCCTTCCCACTTTTCCTATCCCTCCCCTTCAAGGCGAGGGTGATCCGTGCCAAACTTTGGCACTGCCTAAGTTTGGCACGGATCACCCTCGCACGCGATGTCCGACACACTCCCCACCTGTCCGCCATGCGCCCCTCAGCCGAGGTTCTCGTCGTCCTAGGCGCGCTGTGGGGCGACAAAGGCAAAGACAAGCTCATGGAATTGCTCACGTCGCAGTACGACATCCTGGCCCGCGCCGCTGGCGGGGCCAACGCCGGCCACACCATCACCTTCGACGGCATCAAGTACGCGCTCCATCTCCTCCATTCGGGCCTGCTCAACCCGCACTACCTCGGCGTCCTCGGCAACGGCTTCGTCATCCACGTCCCCAAGTTCCTCTCCAAGCTCGCCTCCCGGGAGGGGGAGGGTGAAATTTCCCGCTACTTAGAGCCACCCATATCACGGAACCGGATAGAACGGAACCGGATAGAACAGAGCACTGATGGTAAGACAATACTGCATGTACGAATGAACGACGGAAGCGCGTACTAATGAGTGGACTGTGGCAATGTGATACAGTGGACGATACCACTCCCCTTCACCGTCAAGAAATCTGGATCCGCCTCCACATAGTACAGTACCCTTGGTAATGTACAACGCAGTATATATGAGCGTGTTCGTCTCTCTTATCACAGAGCAAAGTAAGACAGAACACGACCTGGGGACAAGTCGCAGCAGTTAGCACTTGCAAAAGCTTTAATGTATGTAACAAAAATGTGACTCTCCCTCAGTGACCGCAATGTGTGGATGTCTCATTAAGAATATCTACCATCTGCATGCTTCGAGGCCTCGAAGCCGGCTTAGAAATGTAATCACCAGAGACATAGGATATACGTATCTCAGTTGGAAGCAGGTCATCATCATCGGGATGATTAAATTCTTCTCCATTTGCGATCAATGCGGGTGCAGAACTCGAATCCTCACCATAACCAGCCGCTTTCGTTGGACAGGTGATTAACTCTTCGTTCAAGTCCTTTTCCAAATCGGCGATCATCTTTCTTTCGGTAAGGCGGAGGTATTTCGATCCTGCTTGTGCGCTCACCCCCTCGCTCGAAAAAAATTCTCGTCGTTCTCTCAGCTTCGCCAGTACCAACGCCTTTTCTGCAACAATTGCTTTTTTTGTTGCACTTTTCCTAGAAATTCTAGCTTTTCGTTGGCTCTTTTTTGACGCGTAGTGCATTGATCATGTTCTTCGTCGTTTTGATGCCTACAGGTCGAGAGATAGCGTCTAGCACTTGCACCTTGGGTGCTCCTGTTTCCTGCCACTCTTCTATCGCGATTCCCTCCTCATCATATATTGCTGCGGCAGCCTCTGCTCGCTTTTTCTGAGCATTTCTACGCTTCTCGGCTTTGGTTGTCACTTCATCGATAGATGTCCAAATTCTTGTGCTCGACAAAAATTTCCAAGCTTCAGGAAATGGGAAAGGTCGAACGGGCTCGACGGGATCCGGAGAACAGTACAAGTAAATTTTTGTTTCAGTACTTACCTGGCCATTGTACATTGCTGTAGCAACTCGCTTTTGATCTGAATCCGTGACATTACTGGTCATCGCTGCCTTAATCCTTTTTCATGTTTGCCTCCATTTTTATGCATGCTGCTTCGATATCCTTAAATCTTTGTCGGAATGAGCAACCGGAACGTGATTCCAGAGGTAGTAGCACATCTCCCTGCTCGTAATGGTTTGTAATTAAATCGTTGTACCGCTCGGCAATCTGAGCTTCGAAAGTTCTTTTCCGCTGCGACGATCCAGTTAGCACGTTTTCAGATACTCCCATGTACTCCTTGCATGCTATGACGTCCTCAACGGGCGTCCATGACTTTCCCCTTCCCATGACGGCCAAACAGGAGAAACAGGAGGGATATGTTAGTAAAAAGAAGGGGGGGAGGTGTGTGTACCTTTGTCATGCCTGATAAATGAATTTGCATGTGTACGTGTGCGCAGTATGGAAGACCTTCGCGTGCTCTTTCCGTCACAAAACAGTGAAGGACGGCAATGGGCAGTTTGGGTAGCACATAAAAGTCGCGGGAACCGTATGACTGGAAATAACCCGTAGGCCAGGCGAAGGGGATGGGGGCAGCGGTGGCGAGAAAGGCGGGACGAGAAATGCCAAGATTTGTGCTTCACGCGTGCAACGTGGCGAATTGATCGGGGCTATTGCCGGGTCTATTTCGGGGTCTGAATAGATCCTGCGATAGACCCACGGTATTTTTTGGTAGGGATAGACCCAGTTTTTTTTTTGAACGAGTGGAGACGAAATTGTCTAATGGGTCTAAAATTCATTGGCCATAGATCATTAGACCCAAAAAACACCAACCAATAGAGATGCCCTTAATCGGCCATGATACAGTATCTACCGCATACAGTGCTTGGCCATTGTCACGGTGATTAAGAGTCGCGATTCGATTTGGCCCACATTTTTCTTGTCCCTCCACATATTCCCCTCCTATAATACTGAAGAGAGTGCGTCAACAGCTGGACGTGGAGATGGACTCTGCTGCAAGCGGCAATGCAGTATTTTACTCCATAGGCCTATTTTCCACAAGCGACAGCACTGGAATACTGATATTTTGCAAAGTTTACTATACGGTACATATGGTCAAATATCGTAGCGCAGTTGCATGCGGCTGTTGTGCATAGTACAGGTCGTCCTTGTTCAACCAAAATGCACTGGATGAAGGTCACTCTCCTGACTTTCTGTTGTCAAGAATGGGCCCGATGAGAGCTGCCCTCCACACTCCAGCCATTACATCCCTGCACCAGCCCCGTGTCAATCAAGATACCTGCTTCATGCGATGTACATCACTGTATTGTAGTACCGTAGTAGTAAAACTAATGTAAGTTGATATGTGACGTGACGTTCTGCAATGCTGATGTCATCTGTCTTCGACCACCCAATCCCTTAGGTCTATGGAGAAGGATCTGTAATCGCTCCGAGTTACAATTCCTTACTACCCATCAACTCTCTGCATACTGTCCTGGCAGTTGACATTTAAGTTGATACGAAACTGGGCAGCAGAGTGCTCTGCGAAAGTTCTTGAAACGCATGTGAGTGGTTCACTGAAACGGCTTGGGCCGAACGGACGCCCAGCGAATGCATCTAGGACAGCATCATGAAACACGCCCATAAATCGCTTATGTGGCTGCAGGGACTGCCAGAGAGGTTTGGAACTTGATGCCATGGCTAGAGCCCGTCAATGCTATGGTGCTGCCGCTTGTCGAACAACTACGGTTGTTGCATAGCGGAGAGGACATTTAGATGAATGCGAAGTACTTAATGGATGGCTATTGGACGCACATTAGTTTTCCACAGCACAAGCTCCAGTCGTCATCAGAGGTGATCCGCAGGAAACTGAGGATCATGCGTAGCATTACTGTGACGTAATTGCGAACATCGCTGTGTAGTGGTCATCCAGAGCAAATCGCATTGGGTGTCCTTCAGTGCCTCCTCTAGTACCCAATAAAACAAGGCGGAAAGACCAAGACAGATCGCAGTACGTTCTACATATATAGTATATTTCGCTCCGTGATTGGGTTTCTCCTCTTTGCATTTGACGCCGAATTCGTTGTATTATTGTTGGTGACGATGAAACTCTATTGAGTACTTCGATAGAAAAAAAGACACAACCCGACTGAAGGCGTTCTTCATACTCATATCGAAAGCAAAACACTATTTCACATGCTAGGCAGCAACATATTCATTCGCCTGTTTCGTTAGGAGTTCGGGAACATCATGTGTAGTACGGCATTGCACCGAAATGCTTCTACGAATCTAAAATTAACCGTGCCTACTCCTGATAATGCAGAAGGCTGGGGAGAAGCGTTCAGGGAGTTTGCCCTCTGATTTCTTGTCTGTTGAACTAAAAAGGTGGAGCAGTGGTCTCATTACCCACTGCCGCAATGCCCCAGGGCGGCAAACGTAAGGGCCAGGCTGGTTAAACCGCAAGTACTGATGCATTCATATTTGATATTTTTATGGTCATGCCTGTGGAAATCTGCCCTCGCCTGAAAGGGCACTGGAACCAAAACTACTTGAAAGTGGTCAAAGCTTCTCCTCCAAACCTTTTGTATCTCTGTCACAAAACTTCTCATTGTGATTTCTAGTTTACCTCTGCGTGGCAACTGGGATGAAGTTAAGCTCGCCACGCACCCGCTATTGCTTTTCAGGCGAACGTGACAGAAACGGTTCATGGTGTCTGTGGCGAGCCCGAGGGGGCTCTACTCACTTGCCCTCTCGTGCAAAAGTAGTAATGTTCAGAGCTGGAGGAATTCTCTTTCACTCTTTTTTGTTCTTTAGTGCACAGAGCGGCAAAGATAAAACATGTCATCCTCGAATGAAGCCACAACGGAAGTGATGATGGTGAGGGGATGGTGTGCGAAAAAGCAAGAGAGCAACCAACGGGACATGCAGCTGAGAGCAGTTTTGTCAGAATCATACCCTGCTCGCCGCCAGGCTCCAGAAAGACTGGGAAGGGGAGATTGCGGACTCGATAGACCGTTCATGATCAATTACACAGAGCCATCATACATAAAATAACTTGTCCAGTGTTGTTGTGTAATTCCAACGAGAAAGCTCCTCCCCAAAAGAAGAGTTTATAGAGTGTACCTTCAATGGCGGCCCCCATAGTGAGATTTGAGGTTCCTCTCTCAGGCGAACCTGAGCAATTTATTTTTTAGTGAGATATTCCCTGAAGCCATGGTACATACTGGCGTTCGGGAAGCAATCCGCAGTAATACTATAGGAGACGTTGGAAACGAGGGACTCCTTCTCATCGCCCTCAATTAGATGCTGTACAGAGTGCAAGTCCGAAGCCAGAACTGGTTTCCTGAACAAATCCAAAAAAATTGGGACGACAAAGCCCTTGTTGTGCTGTGTCGCATCCCTCAATCATTTTTTTTTCTTCTTCTGCAGAATGCGTTCTTGCCCTTTAAGATGCCTTCCGTATGCGCACTGCATACAGTACCCTGGGTGCTGTCCGCAATACAGGCTGTTGTTATCAGCAGCCTGTACAGTATTGCGGACAGCACTCTAACATTAGAGTATTCTACGTCCAGGAATATAGGAGATAAACTTACATTGGTGTTTTGCGTGCTTTCGTATTTCTGTGGCCAGGCGGTTTTTTACCAGCTGCGCTTGCCCTATTGCGAAACATGAGACAACGAACGGAGATTGATTGGCAACAGGGTCCTACTTCAGCTCATCTCCGATCTGAGCAGAACGGTGTAAAATACTGCTGTAGTGCGCGAAATGAAGTTAATTATGGAATACACTAATTAGATATTTCAGAAGCCGTTGGCACTGGCCGGGTTCTCGGCCAGATATCTTCCTCAACGCCGGCCAGAGGGATGGCGCAACAGAAACAATCGTGCACTGTATTGAGTGAGAGAAGAATGTAGAGCCAGAAGACAGGTTTCTCACCTTGTCCAGGATCCTTTCCCTCGAATTACGTAAGAATGACGGACAGCTTGGATAGCAAAGAGTTGAGCTTTCCTAACCATGATCCGCGAGCGTGTAACATGCACTCGTCCTACTTGTACATGGCACCGTAGCAGAACCATGTTGTAACGCAATGTACTGTACTGTATGGTACCCTTCGAAGGGTAGTGATTGTCTTTCGATTCGCCATGGTTTCGCGAGAGCGCATTTAAAACGAGACCATGCAAGTCGCGAAATGCGTTTTGTGCAAGTGCAGGGGTAACTTTACTTGAAGAGCGAGGCAAGAGCGTAACCAGCACTGCGCTCTTGAACGTCTATATCAGGATACTGTACCAACGGTACCGTATAGTCCAACATGCGGCAGCAACTCTAGCACTTCAAGACACTACATGCCCACAGGCCTGGCATAGGCTCTTGCACATACTGTAGTCTTGAGATGAAGCGTTTGAAAGTACACATAAGCGCTGTTGTACTGTGTCGGCGAGCAATGATGAGTTTCTACCACTTTCGCCCCACTGACGTCCTGTGCTCTGGCTTCTTGGTGCGGCACACGTTCTGAAGCGTGTTGGATGGAAGAAAGTCAGAGGTGGGAGAGGAAGGGGTCCAGAGTTTCTGAGGGAATTGTTCTGAGGTACAGTATGCACAACTCTGCTGGCATGGTAGGCTGCCCTCAGGACAATCTACTGTATCCTAAGGGTACCTCACCCGTACTGTACCCTTGTACAGTGTCTTAGGTACAGCCCCTTATTATCCGCAAAGGATGTCATGGGCGACACGTGCAGATAGGCGGCACGCGTAGTGGTGCAGAGCAAATACACGAAGGGTAGTCGTAGAAATTTGCTGCTTCCACTTTCGTAGAAGATAGGTTGGTCGAGGAGAAAGACAGTCCTTTGGAGACGTCAAAGCTTCACAAGCGTCATGTACAGCTGAATGTGCAGCATTGTACAGCACTATATCTAGGACAGGCGATACGTCGAACGTGCCAACTCATGCCATGCATAGATTCACATACCCTTCACATCCCCAAGAACTGTATCCACTCCAAAAGATGTGTACAGCATGCTCTAGCGCAACGGTGCAGCGCTGTAATGCGATACTGTTTGTAAGGCATCTACACACTCAGTCATGTTGATCAGGAGACACCGCAAACTGCAGTAGGCCCATCGCACGACTCATCAACTCTACAAGATAGGCTTTTCGTCTCGGGGTACGGTATCAGACATATTCCACGAGGAAAATGGTTTAAACATTGTCTGCGCTCTCAAGAACAATTGGACAACATATTAAAGTCTTCGGAGAACCAACATTCTAAACGCCGCCTTACTAATCTGCATTGAGTGAGGGAGGGTTTTGTTGTACATACGCTACACAAGTATGAACTATATACTGTACATACTTGCGCAGATTTAGTTGAGAGTCAGCGACGAGACGCCCAAAAGTTTCTCCACGTTCCCATATCTCACGACCGTTTCAAACGTTGTGCTTCGTGTTCAGTTCTGTGCTGCACCCTCACAAACTTGCTTGCGTAGGCATCCGGCGACTCGAGGGGCAGCACTGCATTTCCAGCGCTGGCGCCATGTCGAATCGCCGATAGTCCTATGCTTCTTGAAGCAAGATGTCGAATGGGGTCGCCTCCGGCGCAAAGCACACCTCAGGGACATGTGCCGATGACACACACATCTTCGCTGTGGGCAGGTCTCCGAGATGCACGGTGGGATGTGGTCTTGTTGGCTTCGCAAAAAACACGAAAGTGGTCACAAGGGACCCAATCAATTGGGATCTGGGGAACAGTCCCTCCCGAGGGAAAGTTGCGGGGAGTCATACAGAGTTGCACAAAGACGATTGCGGTCGCGCAAAAGTACTGTAGCAGCAGCCGCGAGAGGCCTGTGAGACCTGTGATTGTAGTACGAGTCATCCTTCCTATGAGTGGCCGAAGAGCTTTTTTGTGTGTGTCATTGGCGTACAGTGCGGGATGTCGTCGTCGTCGCCGTGATTCCGTGTGTGACGTCGCCGTCATATCGGTTCTGTCTGTACGGTTATGAAAAGTCAAGTCAGTGAGGTGCGGAAGACTGCAACTGTCCACGTAATGTGAAGGCCAATCTCTCAGCGTTAGACGATCTGCGTTACGATAAAGCCACTCTCTCAGCGTTAGACGATCTGCGTCACGCGTGGGATTTTCAAAGAGCCTCCCCTCTACTAACCCCCTCAATTGCGTCCACACCCACACTGGCCTTCTAGCTACAAGGACGTTGGTCAACTCCAGTCACATCAATTACCTCCCTACGTATGAGACAACTTGCATCCTCCTCAGTTTGTTGCCCGCCGGAACGCGCTCACGAGCGAGCTGCTGACCACCACTACCCTCGTTCGTAACGCTTCTCTCATACTTTTCACCCACTTTTAAACTCGCCACCCTGCGTCAGTTGTACTGTATCAACACAGTCACCGCCGTGCTACCTAAAAAACATCCATTGCATTAACTCTGGTACACACTCGCACTGACTCACATCTTGTTCTTTAGCACCAGTATGCAAAACTCGTCTTCACCACCCGTGTCATGTCCGTGACAGTCTTCCACGTCTCACAGGCCCCTCCATACCCTACCTTTTCCCTTCAAAGTACCCTCCTTTTATGTATGCTTCGACCTAGCTTCGTTCTGGCTCATCTCCCAGCAGTCCGCATCAGCCCCCCCCCTCCCCCCCCCCCCCCCCCATCGTGTTCATCTTGCATGTGAGCCCAAAGAGTAATTCTTCCCCCCCCCCCCCCCCCCGGATTACACCACACGCACATCCTCCTTCATCTATCATTCCAAGCACCCGCTCGGCGAGTACTGAAGCCATCCAGTTTCCATTTGACCTGCACCACACAGTTGCTCAAAGCTGCTCCCCACCCCGTCACTACGTACCCCCCTTAGGTTTTCCAACCCTTTCCATCATCATCGTCGAGCCTCACCTCAATGGCAACTTCCGAGATGTCTTGCCCTCCGCACTTCACACCATCAAACCTGTTCACGGAGGCCGATTTGGCTTGGGACACCCAATCGGCCCCTCCGACTTGCATCGACTTGCGTCTCGTCAAGACACATGAGGAAGAAACGTCTCATGATATCCTTGCTGACCTAGAGGCTGTCACCCCGCGCCTGCAAGCAGTTCAACTTTCTCCGCTCTCAGATTTCTCGCTCGAAGCTTCGCCTTCTCAGCAAGACATAATGAGTACACACTTCCACCGACGTCCACATGTGCAGCACCAACATTCTGGCACTGCGCACGAGGCGACTACTATTCACGCCATCGACTGGCCAAGTCCCACACGCCTACCTCCGCAATCTTTCCAGGTCAAAGCGGAATTGAGCTCTCCGACGGATGTAGCGTATGGAAGTTTTATCGCGTCAAACACACCATTAGTATCTATTTCAGCCATGAGTGCGAAAGAGGAAGTGTCATTGCCCATCATCGACGACGGACGTGTCCTGTTTACTCGCAACCTGAATCGGGGCCCGACAACTCCCCTTTCGAAGAAGAAGCGCATTTCGAAATCGCGTCGCTCGCGGCAAAATGCAACTCCACAGCCGAGTCGGTTCTGTCACATTTGTGCCCGAACTCAGAAAAGCCGAAAGATGTTTTGCGCCAACCTGACCACGGAGAAAAAGTGCCGCAAGGCTGTGTGTGAACCATGTTTTAAGGAGCTGAGGTGGAACTTTGAGAAGGCTTTGGAGGGAAGGGAGAAGTGGCATTGCCCCCACTGCAGAGGCATGTGTGAGAGTGTGCCAAGAGCAAGATGTCACATTTATACTAAGACTAACGAGAAGAGGAAGGCCTCAAAGCGCTTGTAACTTGGGGAACTCATTTTAACTCTGGTTCCAGTTTGCTTTGACTCCGCATCTTCTCTGTAAGGGGCGCTCTTGTCGCAATTCTTGGGTGCTGGCTAGCTTCATGATGGGCTCAGTAGTCACCGTATAGGCACAAGGGTTTCAGCAAGGCCTGCGAAGGACACATGGGACTCCTCGCGGCGAATTATAAACTGTTACCTAACCTTTTTTGTACAGCATCACCGAGTCGAAATTTAATTATTACCATTGCACCGCACGTACACGCAAATAGACACGAACTGCTCTAAATACCATACTTGTCTGACCAGGATGTATCGCTGAAGCACCGGCATGAGCTCTCTTGAAGCAAGTTGTGGGTAGCATCAAATGCACGTTTGCAACTTGACGTCCATTTCCAAATGCCTCTAGTGTCTATCCGACGAAGCGTTAGCAAACATAAAAATCTGTGTTTTTTTTTCTTTTCAACTTTGATGGCCACGGTTTCTATTTTTCTTTAGTAGATTGAGTCATCTTTAAATTTTTCTAAAGTTAGAGACGGGTAGGAAGCCCTCAACGCAATGTTTATAAAGTATGCTACTGGTATAAAATTGGCTTAAAGAGAAATGCGTACTGTAAGCCTTTTTTTTCCTTCAACACCTTCATGAGCATCAACGAGTTGGTTTTAGCTGGAATCGACAAGCAAATGCTTTACCCGTGGTGATGGCCCTCTTGTTTAAACAAACAGAATTGAAATGGCGAGTAGGGTTGTCTAGAAAAAAATAGAAAAACTTTTGTCCTCATTTCAGAAGTAACAGTCCAATAGACACTAGACGACATTTCATGAAGTCTTTGTCACTGATCGATAAGTTTTGATCCCTCATTGCTTCCTTTCGGTCAGAAGCGCGGGGAAAATCGGCCTCTACAGAAATCTTTCGGATTGCATTGTCGTATAGGACTTCGTCTGAAGGAACATCAGTAAGATTAGGTTGTCCATGGTGAGCGCTCCACTGTACTCAACCCCTTCTAAAATTTCTGAGAACCAGATACGCCGTCAGAAAGAGGTTTGGGTCTTTTATTCCGGGACACACGGTTCGTTTGTACCCCCGTAATTGAACCTGAGGGAATCTGGCGCTAATTCAATTACGACAAAAAGGAAACTACTGATTTTACGTCCGCCCACAGCTACGCCCTTTGCTGTACTGTAGAAAAAGGGAAATTGGAATAAGTTGCGCTACAATTTCTGCATAGGCACAAAATCAAAACGTTTTAGAGCTTATACAGTACCCTTGGTATGCTTCGCTCGGTAGGGTAGAAGCAATATTACAATAAGAGGTAGAAAATCGCCTCAATAAATAGAGGTCTACATGTTTCTTTATCTGGTACTTTTCAAAGCTGTAGCAGTTCGAGCGCTGTGTAGGAGTCCATGAGGGAATTCAAAGTGGCATTTCGGTTGGGTCCGATTCATGAAAATGCGGAGATCAGCCATATCTAAATACAATACAGTACTGTACAGCCTCCGTAAGTTGATTGGCAGTTGGTTTTTTTTTACACCAAATCTCATCACAGATCTTAGAGAGTAGCCAACATGGGCGTCACAAATGGTCAAAGGGAATGCATGCAAAAACGACACCTCGACCGCAATACGAGCAGGGCATCGATTCCTGTGCTAGAATTGAGCCTCGCAACTTGGTTCTACAGAGGACTGAAAGCCCTGCTGCTTTTCTCACTGTAAATTAAGCCGTATCGCCGCTTAATGCGTGCTGCGTTTTTCGCTGTCCCATCACACTCTTTAAAGAGGTTCCTTGATAAGGAGAAGGATTGCGCAATGTTTAAAGACTTTAGGTTTTTGCAACACGTATGGTACAGAGGATTTACAGCACGAAGAATGATGAAGCGGAGCGAACCGTGTATTTGGGAATGACCGTGAGCCGGCAAGGAGTCTTTTGGCCTACCGTATCTTGATTGTTAAAGGACCTTACTCGTAGTTCCGCATGTTTCCGTGGGCCGATCCAGAGACGCATCGGCATATGTTGACAGCATATGGTGCGGAAAGGAAGCGTAACTGATTTGACGCAGCTCGGTGCGGAACGACGTTGAGGGGAAATACGTATCGGAATATGTATGGCTTGTTTTCGCGCGTTTTCGGCATGAGATGAAGTGGGGACAGCTTCCCCAGCCTTCCGTGCTAGTGAATATCTACGATACTCGTACTGCATGGGGGATTTTACTGTACGTATAACGTCATGCATATTGCGTGGATGTCGGGAACACCGTGACATGAGGCATCAGGTGGTGCAGAAAGAGCGTAGTGCCGACAGTCTGCAGTATCATAAGAGATTTGAAATCCAGCACTGGACCAGTCCAGCGCTGGTATCCTGCAAGGTGAACTTTACGAAATCAGCAGTTGTTCTGAGAACGGACGGGGGACCATCTAGAGCGGGAAACTACCTTATGTAAGGGTCTGTAGACATGGAAATGAACAATTGAGCAAGGTACTCACGCTTTGCTACAGTGCCGCTCAGGACCGCCTCGGCCTGCGGCACAAACAAGGTGCTTTTAAGGGTCTTATTCGACACTATGTTCGTCATAGAGTGCAGGTGCTGCCCTGAGAGGTTGGCATGGTTTCGATGATCGGCATGAGATGGTGAAAGTGGTTGAGCTTCCAGAAAATCAGTGACAAGGGCTTGTACACGTACAGTATCTCTCGAAGTGTCTAAGACTGCGGAAGGTACCCTGCCACACTCGTTGTTGAGATTGGGAGCGTGACATACTCACATGCGGCCGCAGCTGCATTCCCGGGCCCATAACTGTACAAAAACGAGCCTCCCTCAACTCGTTTTTTTAACTCGTCATTCCGCTACATTTCAGGCGTCCGACCTGTAATTCTTTACAGATCTGTACTGCACATATCTGTTAAATTACAGCGGCTCACAGAGACCCTGTCCACGGACCTGTACAACCTCCCGAGACATATCATCACAGCATATGCGCCGGTTGTTACGCTGTTCCGTCTAACCTAACGATCATACGGTACATCCGAATACGTACCGTGCAGATGCAGTACAAAGTTTGTAGTTTGTACTACAAACCATTGATACAGCACATCTTCGTCAAATATTAAAAGGGTTGTAGAAAAAGCTTTTCAATGTATTCTTCTCCGTCCGTGTTTGAGTCATCTTGAGGAGGTGGCATGGGGAAAGGCGCCTTGCATAGCAGCTCGATTCGTGTTGCTATGCATGGCGCCTTTTTCTCTACGTTCTCATAACAAGTTACGATAGCAGCGCAGAAAATAAGATCAAGCTCAAACACTGGCAAAGGATCTCAGTGCCGTGACCCACGTCTTGATGCTGCTCTCCGTCGTCCCCTCAGCGTCGTAGAGATACTTAAATACTTAAACGGTAAAATAAGGTTTACAGTATGGAATCCGTGATGTTGACGAATAAATTTCTGCGTTCAGTACCGCCGTGCCGAGGCAGCAATGATCATGACCTCGTCGCCGTACAGAGTACATAATAGGCATCATGTCGTCAATATTCGAAACGCCAAGATTGATCGCGTTCTCTACAACAAGGTGTGGATTTCTCCTAGCTTCTCCGCTTGAAGATGTAACTCTCATGTTTCAAAGGAGAGGGCAAAATAGAAGCCATCACGCTCACGGAACATGGTTAAAGATGTCTGTACGCTAGATGGTGTCGCGCGGTCCTTGTTCGCTTTCGATATGCTGAAAAGTGAAGTCAGTTGACGAATCGCGCTCTGGAGAAGAGTGACACCTACTGTCGAGAGGTATTGCAACTAGACTGTGCAGTGTTGTATCGATAACAACAAATCAGGAGCGAGGTGGCATCTGCAATGCGCAGAACTCGATTGCGTACCATTGTTGTACATCTTTTGACTTTCGATTCATCGTCGGAAGCGTGGAATCGGGTCCCACCTCACGGAGAAACCGATTCAAACTTTGGAAACGTTCGGCTGGTGATGTACGAAGGGTACTGTACGAAGCTCGCAACTACGCTTTAAAGCAGAAACGGCGTCCGTTGGGAAGAGCTGCGTTTCAGAAGATCTACTCGCCGCTGTGTATCACTGTGGCGCTGTGCAGTGTAGTATAATATGGTTATGTCTTTTTGTCGGTTCTTAACACCATCAAGTAACTCGGACAGTAGGTTCGCGTCCAGTGCGTGAAGCAACCATTGAGACGGTTTACAGGTGTGCTGATATATGTAGCCATGCTAATATCTCTAGCTGTGAACAGCTAGAGATATTAGCATGGCTGTGAACAGCTAGAGATATTAGCATGGCTACATATATCAGTTGATACCGACAACAGAGCACTTCACATGAAGTGCTCTGTTGTCGGGATCAACTGGAACACAAGGCAGGGCAAGTCACGCCATTGTTTTCATAATGAGCATAAACATGCACTGCTGCTGAGACTGACTTCGCAGGTCATCAGTGCAAGCCAGTAGGTCCACGCCTACCATACGGCGGTACAGTACAGTACTTCGCATTTACGGTGCAGTGCCGTACAGTCATTTTTTGCTCTTCGAAGTGATTCGCTTTGTAAAAGCTACTGGCAATTGTGGGTGGATTCTTTCATAAGACAAAAAATGGGAAGATGTACTTCTTAGACAAGATTCAGAGGTGCTGACATCAGCACTTCCATTTTGAAACACACTTTCGCAATGTACAATAGCGATGCAGCCATGTCCGTTTGGAACGCGGAGCTTCGTGCCTACCGGATAGAGAAACCCATACCGTAGATATACTGTACCCAAGGGTACTGTACAGCAACGTGCAGTACGTAGATGTTGGTGATCGAAGTGAAAATGTTGCTATGAAGAACTGTTGACAAACTTGCGGCGTCCCGAAATGCTTCGTGATCAAAAGTTTTAGTTTCCAACTCCGGATTCCGTACGCACTGTTGACTTCAAGTGAGCTCAACCTGCGCATCCATTTTCTACGTAGAACGATGAATTCATTTTCACTCAAGCTCATCTTTGCTATACAGTATTGAGAAGAGTACGTGGGCTTGGGCGAAGTGCCTCTGATGTCATATTCAGGGGGGGTAGACTTTATATCATTTTCAGGGAAGAAAGTTCTCTTTTGACTCACACGTGTCCACCTGTCCTAGCTGTGTGACGAGTCCAACAAGGACAGCATAGAAGACATGCAGTAAAACGCTGTAATGCAATTCAGAACACAAGAGCGGAAGCGAACATGTCATTGCAAAGCTTTTAATCGCAGCTGCACCTTGGGATATGGCGATTTCACCAGTACGTACCAACCTCAGGCAAGTGCGTCTCTGTAGACAAGTCTAGCGAGCCTGCTCAGTTGATATTTCAATCGGATCCCGCACCTCATTCACAAGAGAAACGTAGCCTGCCGTAACAGGAAAAAAAGAACGAATGCTACTCCGAAAATCGCAGAAACCTCTCCCAACTTCACTGCCATTGCGTGAATTTCTGTTTTAGATCAACTCGGGTAAAATGCTGGCGGTCCACCTGAAAGAAGCTGAAAAGGCCAAACAGAAGCTTAGACCCCAGCTTTGTACGTACCGAAAAAATTCAGTCCATACAAAATGCATATGCCGATAACTCTGTCTTGCCCAATTCCCAAACAACTAACTTGTTTTGTATAGTGCAGGGAGAGCGAAATGTGATCAGGGCCGCTGAGAAATACAGCGACATCCTTCTGACCACGATTAACGAAGACGTTTCATGTGTATGTCATTTGCGTTGGTGTCCTTCTTCCCACCCCGTCGACCTCAGCATGTGCCATTCTTGTTCTACTGACCTTTCATTCAGTGTTGTTTTCGTATTCGATACCGTGTCACCGCAATACTAGGCATACGTAGCGCAACGACAAATTGAACTTGAGCTTCGTAACGTAGAGAGACTTCTTGTCGCCAATGCAAATCAGAACGCGCAGTGGATGACACTGCTGGATCGCCTCACTCGTGAGCTTAAAGAATTGGGCGATGTCAGCAACTGGCTTGAGCACCTGGAGGCTGCGGCAACAGAAATAAACGAGATCTCGAAATCTCTGTGACCACTTTTAGGTTAAGTGGATATTCGCGGGGCCAAGACAAAGAACCTTCATGTCCTCTTTCCGCTGACGTCATCATCTCAAGACAGTCCTGCCTCATAAGTTAGAAGGGGTCTCACCAGGAGTATAGGAGCACGGCCAGAGGCATGTTAGTCCTGTCTAAACATGGGATGCTAGTTTCTTTGTCTGCGTAACAGATAGAAAGCCCCTGCTTCAGACATCACAGCAATCTCCTCAGACCCGTCATTACGTCGGGTAATGCCGGTTAGCCGTACATCTCCCCTGAACCCAAACGCCCGTCTGGGGCTTTTCGTGTTTGCCCCTGACATCATAAGAGACTCAGATCCAGTCGCAGTACTTTTCAGATGATCTGCCATCTTAGCACTCCACGCACCGCACGCCACCTCGTTATCAACGCTACACACGTAAACCATACCTGGTATCTCCTGACTGAGCTTTATTCCCGCACACTCGTACTTGAGACAGCTCGGCCATCTTTCCCGTGCAGTCATTGACCTGGTGTCAAAAATGTGTACAGTTCGATCCATTCCTGCTGCAGCAACGACGTTTCCATCCGCGGAAACATCCAAACAAAGCAGATTCCCGGTACCAGCGGGCTTTCTCCCGATGCATGATCCACGTTCTCCGGCCCTAAAGTCATAAAATGACAAGTTATGACCCTCTGCCACGGCTATCGTGTTATTCTCGTTGCAAAACCCGATAGCCCCGGGAGTGAGAATACTATGTACAGTGCGGACAGCTACGTTGCGGTCAAATAGCGTGATGTCTCGAAAAAATTGGCGTGCTATGACCGCAACGTTCGGGTCGTTCTGCTTCAATGCAACTCCCGCCCATCCGGGATCTCCGCTCGACAAAGATGTCGGAGACAGAACAAACGAATCAGATTCAGATTCTGTAACGATTTCCTTCGCATTCATGTTCGAAGAAGAACTCGCCCTCGCTGATGTGATGACACATCTGCCGTACATATCAACAGATGCAAGCCTGGTCTCATCAGCAATCACAGATTGCACCTCGGTCTGATGCGTGCAATGTGGAACGCACTTGCTGGCGGTTAGGGACGAGAAAGGCTTTGGTACAATGTATTCATCTGCAATTGCAGAAGACACAGCATCTGTGACCGACGAGTTCGCATCTTTGGCAACTGTCCGGACGCGGCTCTCGTTCTCCTGGTCCTCTGGTCTGGTTCTCTTCCGAGTTGGATGACATTGAAGCTTGAAAACACTACGACGAGAAGCAAACGCAAATGACCCGTCGCCACAGGCTGTGAGGCGACTGGCTTGTTGGCCAGCTGCTGAGAGAGGAAGCGTGATGGTATCGGCACTCAGCAAGCCGCGAAAGAGATCATGTCTCCCTATCACCGGAGCTTGCACGAAATCTTGAGCTGCGGATGAAGACCCTTTCATAAAGCGTGAGATCGGTGTTCCTTCCTATTTCAGGGGCACAACGGGAACTGGATCTGAGACGGCGGATCGCCGTGCGACGTCACACGTGATAGTGAGGACACGACAAGGGGGGCGCAAATGAAGTCTAAAAGGCTGGCAAAAAAAGGCATCTAGGCTGTGTTATTATCGGTTCCCATATTGACAAAGTCTAGCGACATCATCAACCATGCTACCCTGCGGGGTCGAGCTCGCCCGGCAGACCACTACGTTCTAGTCATTCCACCCTACCTATATCCTGAATAAGTGACGTTTAATTGGTCTTTTGCGGACGGCGACAATAACAACACATGGCTTTCTGTGCTCAAAACGCGAGATATGAAAGCCATTTTTGATGCTATATGGCTGGTTTAGTAGCTCCACTATCATGTACAGCGGCAAGATTTAAATCTGCAGATGACAACCAAGTACGCCGTACGGACTTTCTCTACCGGAGATGGCGGAAGCGATGTGCATAGGTAATATTCACGAGCATAGTGTAAGCTTTACCGTATGAAGCGAGCACTAAACTTTTGAGGCAGGAGGTGAAACACAATGTTGGCGCACTCCCAAGGACAAGCCAGACACGAAGTCGTAGGATTACGCGCCAGCAGACTTGTCGGCAGCACTTGGTTCGGTCGCATCTTCTACGGGAGCTACTGCCTCTGTGACGGCCGCCGCTACTTTTCCAGTAGTATCTATCACAGTCTCGGGTGTACCGGCAGCGCTTTCGATAGCGGCGTCGACGGCAGCATTGATAGTCTCGGCGGTTTCGTCAAGCAACTCGGTGACCGCCTCCAGAACAGGCTGCTCTTCGGACACCTCCCCCGCCACCTGCTCTTCCTCCTTTTCTTCTTCATCGCCGCCTTCTACTGGGACGGTAACAGACAATGGAATTGATCTGTGTTCAATCTTGCTGTCCATAATTGGATTGCCGCCACCGAAAATGCGTGTTGAAGACGACTTCGAGGAGCTCCACATCGGAACGATCTCGTCGACACCCTCGAGCTGCGCCTCGATCCCCCCGCCTCGCTTGGTCTTATTCCATGTGACGGAAGGGTCGCGGGCTTTGTTGAGCAAGGCGGCGGTGCATACGCCCACGGCCGCAGCCATGGCTCCAATGAGCGGATAGACCTCGGGTTTGAGCCATACCTTCCGGAACGAAGCCCAGTTATTTGCCATGGAAGAGGATTCAGTGGTACGCCGTAGATGTGAGAGAAATGAGCGGAGATGTGAGCAGAGGGGCGATGGCCTATTGCAAGTCGGCGGCAAAGAACAAGTGCATCTGCTATCAAAACCCTGCGGTCCAGGTAGAAAAGTGTTCACATCATACCGACTGGACCGCACTGCTGCAGAATGGATCTCTGCAATCACACCGCACCCCTTACCGCTCCAGCAGGGCCCTTCGCCAGTGGTCAAATATACCCTCAATCTGTCCGCAAATGGCTGCACGTGGGCATCGTGTACACCATGGACACGTGGTATATCTGTATATGTTGTATTAAGAGCTGCTGTTCACCCGTACTGGGGGCAATGGGAACATGCCAAGTGGTCCTCTCTGCGATACGAATCCATCCCGAGATACACACGTGTGCCCGATGTCAAGAGGTCTTCGAGATTCAGAGTTGAGAAGCAGCATGGGTGACTACCAAGGGTAGTATCGCAGGCAAACCTCCCTTTCACGTCAACGAAGAAACGACATCGCAACGGTACATTCTCAACAGGGGTTAACTCCGGATTCTATTTCTTCTCTTCTCGCAGATTCCGTCAGATAATCAGATCTTACCCAGCATTCCACACCGCACCCATCTCACCCCCGCCAAGCCTCATTCACCTCACCGCCGTTCACCTCACCGCACTCATTTCACCAGCAATGTTCCGCCCGGCATTTGTTCCAACCACTGCACCATCAGTCAGAAACTCTGGCACATCACTGAGTCGGTCATCCTTTCTGTCTCTACGCAATCCTGCTAAATTCTGCAATCAGGCGATACGCTCATCTCGTCTTCATGTTCACACTGCCCCCTTGAAAAGCTCCACAGTCGTGTCTGCAGTCGCTGCCCAGCCTCTCACTGGCAAACGGGTGCTCGTTATCGGCGGAACTCGCTTCTCTGGTTTGTACCTAGTCCACGAGCTCGCCAACCGTGGCGCCAACGTCGTTGTCCTCAACAGAGGGTCGAAGCCTGTCGGAGACCCATCATTGAAAGTTCCTGGAGAGACCGACGAGCACTTCAAAGAACGAAACGACCGCACTACTCAGATCGTTGCGGACCGCACCGATGCTGAAGCTCTCACTTCAGCCCTCGCAAGCGAAAAGTTTGATGTCATCTTCGACAACAACGGTCGCGAGCTCTCCGATTCCAAGCCCCTCGCCGACCTCGCAAAGAAGATGGACGCCCATTTCGTCTACATGTCTTCTGCAGGTGTTTATTTGAAAGCCCCTGTGATGCCTCACATCGAGGGCGACGAGGTGGACCCAAATTGCCGTCACAAGGGAAAACTCAACACCGAAGACTATCTTCGTGAAACAGATGTTACATACACTGCCATTAGACCAACTTATATCTACGGAGCAGGAAATTACAACCCTTTGGATCAGTGGTTCTTCGAACGTCTTGACAAGGGAATGCCGATTTGCGTCCCTGGTCACGGCGCCCACCTTACCGGGCTCGGCCATGTGCGCGATCTGGCCGCAGCGATGGCCGCATGCGCATGCAACCCAGTCTCCTTCGGTCAAGTTTACAACGTTCAAGACCGTAGAGCAGTGACCTTTGATGGTGTGGCCAGGTTGTGCGCAAAGGCTATGGGCAAGCCAGAACCAGAGATCATCCACTACAATCCAAAGGATATGGACTTCGGGAAAAAGAAGGCTTTCCCATTCCGCCCACAACACTTTTTCTGTTCTCCCAACAAAGCGTTGCGAGAGCTGGACTGGGAGGTGGAATATGATTTAATGGCAGGGTTGAAGGATGCGTATGAGAACGACTTCCTTTTGAAAAAGGAGAGGGGCGGCCTAAAGAACGATTTCACAACTGATGATATTATTCTCAGCACTGTGAAGGGCGCCTCAGTGGTCTGAATACTACCTGCAGTCGATAATAGCGCGAGTTAATATTTCGCCACTCCAGGACCGCAATTTCTTTTGGGACCGAAGAGTTCAAGTTCATCAAGTGCGGCATTTTATGTATATTGGTCGCGTTATGGGTAATTGCCTTCTCTGCTAGTTAGAGTGAATGCAAACATTCCATGTTAATAGAAATCTCTTTTTTCCTTTACAGTCCGAGCAATATACTAGTTCAGTCCAGAATCCGTGCTTCAGGCGAAGGGACAATGCGTTGGCATCGTTACTGTTTGGACATAGGAATGGGAAGGGATATGATATGGTTGGATATGGGCTGCCTGACCTTTGTTCTTCGGGGACATCCATACAGAATAAGAGTCCTCGAAAAAGGACATGTACATGCGTATCGGCTTCAAAGCTGACTAAAAGAAAGCGAATGTGTCAAACGCTGCGGACAGCGTGCTTTTGAAGATTTCAAAAGAACAAAAAGAAACTTCTGACATCTTCAGCTCTCAGTAAGGAGAGAGACATTTTCTCCAATATCGTTCAAATTTTGATCACGTCTGTGTTTCGAGAGCAAGCAGAACACAGTAGACTCTCCAGATAATGACGATGCTGACTTTAGCATCCGAAGAGGAAATACCAGAAATGCCCACAAACAGACATTTTAAAAAGTAAAAATACGAAGAACATGGGCTCTCGCAACATTTGAATGAAATATAAACTCATATTCGCTGCAGCAGCTGGTCTTTTGTCTAGCGGTTACCATCAAAGGGGAAACTTCAAAGCACAATCTGCCTCTGTCGACGTCGAAGTCTTGAATGGTAAAAAATTCTCTGTGGACAAATGAGAGATTCAGGAACGCGACCTTGGAGTGCACATACCCACCGAGAGAGCTGACCGACAAACAAAATCTCTTGCAAGACATAGACATATCTAAGAAATAGAAGAGAGGTAACCTAGTCTGTGTTTTTTTCCTAGCATAGTTTATGAGCGTTCCAAAACAACACCGTTCTTCTGAGAGCTTAGTGTACAGCTCACCCCCTCCCATGCTTGCAACAACATATTCTGCTTGAAGAGCTATCCACCTAACTACTATATCCACCCCTCGACTACGCGACAAGCCCAACGCTATCTCTGGGCTTGAACAAGGCGAACCTAGCGATGTTGGGAAGAGGGATCTTAGTTTCTTTTATACTTGTTTCAACTCTTGTATTTCCCTTTTCCCATGCATTCTCCAAGCAAGAACTCCTTCGACAATCCCACTTTCAAACCGTCCAATCTCAATCAGCGAGAAATTTCATCGACCAGTCCGAACATGAGCAAACACATGTCCTTCTTCAGGAAGATGGAGCTGTTGACGCCCTCAAAATTTTCTTGCTACAACTGCCGGACGGTTTGACCAGCAATGATGTGATTTTCTCCCAAACAAGTTCAGACGCGAATGTTCTCGATGTATCAGGCAACGACAACCTGGTTATCTCTTCATCAAACGGTGCAACCCTCAACGTCACTTGCGCATTATCATTCGACTCCTCGGTCGGGAAAACGGCCTACACTCTAATCGCGATGAAGAAGATTACGAATGAAGCTGTTGGTTCTGTCACAGTTCCTTTTGTGATTGTTGGGATGACATTCTTCACAGAATCAGAGGGCGGTGCCAAAACTATTGTGTCTGGTGATGGCAACGGATATTCCGTCTCGTATGAGGAAGCTTTGAGCACTCTTCCAGATTCGAAGAAGATCAAAGCGTTCATACAGTACGCGAATGGATCCTCCTCCAGCGACTTTTCCAGTTCTTCCCTGCCTTCTATTGATACTTTGCAGTCATCAGTGGTCGGCTATACCGGACAGTTTATTCACGACACATCTATTTGTAATCCCTCAGGTGTTGGTGGACTCGATGAAACTGGACAAGTGGTGCTATCAAACGGATGCGGATATGGCTTGTATTCAGATGCGTCTGGGAGTCTTTCCTTCGGATTTGTATTCCGACCTTATAGTGCAGGAAGCGTCACAATCCGGTACTCTTGGCCCGGTATAACCTCGAACGTTGCACAGCTTTCAACACAAACCTTTGAGTTTTCCTTTGTCGTGTTTCTCACTGGATCTCCACCGGTTGCTGTCATGGATGTCTACCCACAAGAAAAAATATGGCGTCCAGAGGGTGGAGAGCTTATGCGTTGCCAAGTTATTAATGCTGTGTCCCAAAACCTATCATCTTTTAACTTAGTTGTAGAAAACGTCGGGACTCCATTTCAAGTTGTAAGTGGTTCGTATCTTTCCGAAGGAGCTCCAAACTACACAGAATCGTTAACATTCATCACTACGAGCGGGACTGGAACTGATCTTAACTGGAGCATGCAATACCGGGCCCCGACAACCGGTGCAGCAGAGGGAAATATAGAGACTGCCAAACTAATGCCGGGGTTCTCGCACTTGTTTAGTTTCGACACTCTGGCTTTGTCGATTGACACTGTTTCTCCAGACTTTGGAACCGAAGAAGGAGGAGAGACAATAACAGTCGCTGGACATTTTCCTTACTTCAACTCAGATGTTGACGGATTGTATTTCTCGGGGTACAAGCTCCCAAAACATTTCATCAAATCAACGTCGGGCTCTTCAATAGAGTTCACGCTACCTCCGAAATCAGAGCTCGGCGCAAGTTATGAATTTCTTGTCACGGTTGAAATGGGAAATGGGAAGTCAAATGAAGTCTTGTTCTCATTTATTTTGAAGGATGCTGCGGTTCGTATTTCTCAATCAGGTACGTCTGAAATCGATGAGGAAACGTACCGCGTGGGAGATTGCACTCCTGTGAGTTTTACAGCGGTTGTAACTCCATTTACGAAGCAAATTATGGGATACAAATGGTCTCTGCACCTGGCCGGTGACACCGGAAATGATCTTCTCCAATCTCCTGTATTCTCAACCTCGAATTCCTCCGCACAGACACTGGAACTGGATCCGGACTCTTTTGTAGCCGGAGCTTATACCCTCAAAATCCTTGTTAATATCATTGGAAAAGATCTGGAACGAGAAATATTGCTTCTTCGAGAGCATATTATCACCATTGGGGCTTTTATACTCAAACCCCCGGAGAGAACAATTGCATACCCAGACACCCCGCTGCGACTCTCGGCTGTTGTCATGCCCCCTGGAGATTGCTATACCGGAAACCAAACGATGATGTTCGAATGGAAAGCGTTTGGAGAAACACAATTGTTTTCTTCATTGAACGCCACAGGATCACCATCTGTCGGCAATTTCACAACAACTCCAGCTCGCCTTGGATGGGAATACGTTGTGCCAAGAGAAAGTCTGGAATATGGAAACAATTCTGTTGTATTCAAGGTATGGATGGCTGAGGATGATTCTGTTTTCGGACAGGCCATGTCCCACGTTTTTATTCAGGAGGCGGCGTTGATTCCAGTTGTTCGCTATGGAGAGGAACTTCTCACAGTCAACTACTTAACGACTCTCAAAATGTTTGCTACAGGGTCTTACGATCCTGATGTTCTTGATGAAACCCGCTCCGAGGGCCTGTCTTATGAATGGGCCTGTCAGCAGTCCGCTGCCCTCAACTTCTCCAGCTCTGCACCCTGCGTGTCATCCTTGCTCCCGGATGCCTCTGTCGCAGAATTTTCAGTCGCAATAGCAGTCTTGCAATCTCAGAGTAGCATTGCTTTTGTTCGCTACACTCTGACAGTGCGGAAAGGAATGACCCGCGTGTCTCAACCGACGGATTTGATTGTGGAGATTCAAGACAGAGGGACAATTCCATTCCTTGATGAATATGAGATTGTCCTCACCAATGATGATGGAACTGTTCAGAGCTGGGACGGAGTTAAGCATTATGAGCGATCCATTATTTCGGTGTCTACTACCTCCCAAGTTTCATGGTCATACTCGCTCGTAGAACCGTCAATTCCAAACTTTTTCTCAGAGGCAAACTTAATCGTTGGCCCACTTTTCTTTTCTGCAGAAGCCCAGGTGTTCTCTATTTCTGGAAACAAGAAAGCTCTCGGTATAGAGGCTGGGGTGCTGAAACCCCGAACAACGTATAAGTTCAAGATTTTGTTTGATGGAAGTGCAGAACATGAGGCGACGTCTGTTGTGGTCTCGATTCGGACAGCGGAGACTCCGACGATTGGGTTTTCTGTGCCCTCTGTCACGGAGGGCACTCAGAACACGACATTCACAACGACTGCGGGTGTGCCAGGCACATGGCCATCGTTTTCCTACTACTTTATCCTGACCGATCGTGACGGAAAGACCTTTTGCGTAGGGGGATGTACTGGATATGATGTCGCACATTTCCGAATAGGGAGACCAGGGACTTATACTCTATCTGCTTACATACTTGATATGCAGGGGAAGGCCTTGATTGACTTTAAGATACTACCAACGAATATCACAGTAACAGAGTCGGGAACTGACACTCAGTATCTGCACACCCTGCAGACATCATTCGAACATGGAGATGATAGCACATGGACTCAGATGGCACATGACCTGGCGCTTATCCTCCTGGAGCCGGATACCTCTCTTACCAGTATCAGAATGTTGACAGACGTTGTAGATCGTGAAGATGTAATAACATCGGAAGACGTGCTTGACGCCAGAATGCAGTCAGCTTTGAGCATATCGGCCGGATCCAGGAAAATCTTTTGCAGCTCGTTCCCGAATTCGTATCATGGAAGTGATTGCATGTCGCTGTCTTCTGATCTCATGAAACTGCCAATGTTGGACACAACGACTGTTTACAATATCATGGTGACTATCCAATGCTGTGTGGAAAACACTCCGCAACGAACAATCAACAAGATGGGACCAATGTTCCCGGTCGTTCTTGAGAATATGAACAAGGTTTCAAGGACAATAGACCAAGGTGGAAATTCGCGTCGAAGA